AAAAACATTTCCCTCATATCCGCTTAATAAACAGAAAGGGATTTCATAAAATCTTTGGTGAAACTTCGCGTAGTTTAATTTTTCCTGTGTCCTACTAAGCAGTGGTGAAGGGAGGACCGCATACGTTCATAACCCAGTTTACTTTCTTAGAGTCAGCCTGCTGAAATGACTGTTTTCAAAACTCCAGTTAGCAAATTCTCGCAAAATGCTGCAAACATTCGAGATTGCTTTCAATGAGCTGACTCTCAATAAGCACGAACAAACTTAAGTCAAAAAATACAAAACTGCGCAAAAAGTCCAAAAACTCGAAAACTCAAACAGCTGCGGTTGTTTGAAAGAGCAAGATAAAAACGCATTGAAAATTGGACGGTTTGTGAAGGAATGAGTTCTTTTTTTTTTTTTTAAGAAATTTGGAGTACATACATAGCGAACCCTTTACTCACGACTTTACGAATCCTTAAAACTAATTATTAGTTTTGATGATACTGAACGATATGACCAATTGGCCGGTTTCTTCTCTTACATGCATGTAATGAAATAAAAGAAACAGTGCCATTATTCAATTCAGGGATACCAGGGGCAATTCAAACTCATTCAAGAAACATCTATATCCGCAAGCAACAGACATGGAGGTGTTTTCAACCCTCTATACTGTTTCAGTTATTTGTTAAACGAAAAGCTCCTTTCATCAACACGATAGTGTTTGTAAGTGCGTTGCTTCTACGCATCTGATGAACCGGCATAAAAAAGCGAAATGCCAAAGAAGCCAGTTTTCATTTTAAATTCTTACAAGCTTTCAAATCTCAGTGCTCAACAATCCAGTTATTTTATTAATAATCACTTAAGTGCTATCAATTTCTTTAATTTTTCACTCTTGATAGTAAGAATATGTGAATTCATCGAAAAGTCATGTAACCTTTCTCTGTTCATTTTCCTTTTGAAATACTCACAAAAACCAATCCTAATGATAATGAAAACCACTTTAGCGTTTTCTTCTCTTCATTAAAAGACATTGCTTGACTTATCTTTAGCTAAAACTTTTACAAACCTTTTTCTTTAATTGTGATATTTGATATAATGCAATATAATCGATTAACACGTTTCTTCTCGAACATACTTTCTACCAATTATAAGAAATTGTGTTGTCATTCAGGGATACAATGAGCACACCAGAAACATGCATAGCTTCGAGCATAGCCTCGAGCATAGCCAGAAGCGTCATCGAGTCGGTGTTCCACGTCCTTTTCAAAAGTCAGAATTTTGTTAAAACAAAACGCCCTTTGATCAACGCGGCGTGGTAAGCTTGTGAGTATGTTATTTGCATTTATACTTTAACTAAAATACAACAGCGACATGCGAAGGAACCTATTCAGTTTCAATTTTACAGCCTTCAAGCTGCTAAACTTAACCACTCAAAAATTCAGCAGTTCTGTACCCAATTATCCTTACGTTGCTTTTTCCTTTTTTTTTTTTTTTAATTAGTAATAGCAATAATGGCATGAAGTCGTGAAAACGGCATGTAGTCTCCATTGCGGCTCGAGCGAGCGTTTCCTCTTTTTTTTTTTCGGAAATACACACTCTTTGGCGTGCCTTCAGATATATATTACACAATACATTGTATGGCAAGAGTTCCATATAACCCCTTGCATTAATTATGCATAGAGTGTTGCAAAGAAACCTTTATATTTAGTCTTTCTGAAATGAATGCATAATTAATTTTGGGGTTATAGGGAACTCTTTCCCATTATATTACATAATATAATGCGACGTTAAAGTTAGGCCAGTTTCGGTTAATTCCAACATACATTTAATGAAATAAAACGAAAAGAGCCACCGTAAGGTATACAATTCAAACTTAACCTTCGCGTACCTCTGAAAAACAGTCGAAAAAGTGTCATTAAATTGTGACTAAATTCCACATCAAATGTTAGAACTTTTCAAAACAAAAGGCTCTTCTGATCGACATGTTGGCAAATGTGAGTATGGCTTGTTATAACACATGTCCATTGTCCTTCTTGGTAAACCAGCTTGTAACAGCCAAATGCCAAACGTCTAGTTGCCTTTTTAAAATTCACAAGCAGTTATTAAATCTTACCTCTAAAAAAAGTCAGCAATTCTGTTGCTCACATCCACTTAATAAACGGAAAAATAGTTCGCGATAAAATTTCACTTAGCTTGAAGCAATGATATTTTACCCCCTCGCTGTTAAAAGACTACAGCGAGCGAGATGCCGGATTTAAAAGTATTGAATAAAGGGGTTTTAACTGATATGAGAACTCGATCAACACTCCCTTTACAAATGAGTTACATGTTTAGAACTTTCCAATACTCTGCGCTGCACACTTTCGAGACAGAAATTCACTGGAATTACATTAATCACCACGAATATTTTTACGCTAAAGATGCAGGGTTTACCATAGCGCTGTCGGCTTCAAAATTGCTTAAAGCTAAAAATCACACACACACAAAATTATCATACCAAAATCTTGAAGAAAAACCTGGCAAACCTCACTTCAAAAATATAACTGCTTCAGAGCGTAATGTCGGTACTACTGTGCACTCCTAGTCGTGGCTTCAAAGATCAATGAATCTACCGCTAAATGTTACATATCTTGTTCTTTTGAAAGGTAATGAGAAGCCAATAGCTGATGTTGGAGGATGTCATGTGACTCAATTGTGTGCTTGGCTAAGATCCCCTGAGGTAAAACGCTGAAGTGGGCATTAGATCTTAACAGTCTTCATCTCGGCTCTCTTCACTTGAAAACCCTAGAAATCAATGATACCCCATCCACTGTCATTCTGATAACAACATCAATTTTCCTTCTTGAGGTTAATTCCTGAGGTTTTGAGGGTTCAGTAAAGGTTAATCAGTTTTCGTTATGAAGCGTGGAGTGACGTCGTAAATTTAGCCTTAAACAATTTTCCGCAAACTCGAACTAACAATTTTTCAATTTTTCTTTAAACGAAATCAATTTGATTTTAGAGTTGAAACAGCGTTTGAAATAACCAAACCTCGCACAAATATTTCCGGAATGTTAAGCCTGTCCAATAATTGCGTGACAATAATTGTAAACCAATGTGATAGTAATGGGCGTTGTTTTGTCAACACTACAGTAGAACCTCGCCAGCTCGAACTCGTGAAGGAAACGAAAAATGGTTGGAATTAGGGGGTGGATTCGAAATCCTAAAGGTAAAGGGAAAATGCTTCAAGTTAATGGGCGGTTCGAGTTTACCAGATCGAGTTAGCGCAGTTCTAGTTTTTTTTTTTTTTTTATAGTTGAATATGCTGGCGGCGATAAAGTGATTGGCCGGGTTATGTTTTAAAAAATCAAGAAATTAATAAAAGAAATAATTTCTTAGATGCTGAGAATAGTTTACACTTTAGGGATATACATATCCGCGAGCAAAAGACAAATTAGATTTGCATGTATTTTTTTGCCCTTGCACTGTTTTTGCTCTTTTACATATAAGACATTCGATAAGCTTATCTAAGCGATATATATAAAGTAACTATTGATAGCAAATGCACAATTGTACTCCAGATTCTTGTCTCCTACGGGATTCTTTAAGCAATACATCGCGCTTTCTATCGGTTTAATTACCGTCGTGATAATCCAAGCAGGGTGTTGGGGGAAAACGTCGAGGAAATTTCATAAATATAGATAACAAAATGGAATACATGTAGACTGCCTGAAGAAATGCGTTCCTCAAAACACGTGCAATCAGAATGGCAATATTGATCCTCATTTCAATTCCTGTGGGTGTGAAACGCTTTGTAATTATAACCACTTGAAAGTGGTACGCGTTATTTTTAAGTACATCAGTACTTCACGATACACCGTTAGATCACGTTTTTTTCAAATTCAAGTAACAAATTGTTTCTAGCTGAGATGCTAATTGGACATCTTGATGCAAATGACTGGCCGGTTTCTGCTTTAACGAAAATGGTCCAAAAATGAAAGAAATGATAAGTAACTCGATAAGATACTTCGAACTGTACACAAGACAGATTGACTCAGTAAAAATACTTGTCATCACATTTTGCAATCGAAATACAATAAACAAACACTACACAGTTTGATTTAGTCTTAAGCTACATAGACCTGTTATGGGAATGAATGTAGTCCTTATACACAGAAATAAAGGTTTTTACGAAAGGCTTAAATAAACAAAAGTCATAGAAAAAAAGAGGCGGTAAAAAATCAGATGATCATGAACACGTTTTAGCGTTGGAAACTATTTATGTGACAATGATACCTTATAAAGGTAAAAGATAAATAAAGGAAAAAGAAAGCAAACTTAGTTTGTTGGTGAATCGCACCTGGGATAGTTACTGTAGTAAATAGCAACAAGGGTCTTCACAAAGTAGCTCAGTAACATTTGATCATGAGATCGCAACGATTGCAGAATAAGCATGAAAATTCGCTTGAAAATGCTGAGGGTGTTGCCCAAAACGTATAATCTAGAAAGAATTAATTCCTAAAACCGCGGATTTAGCTGTGAGTAGGCATGACACTGCATTATCTTTCCGCCGAAAAGCGTCGTGCAATTTTATATATATTCTTTTTTGTACCACGCTTGGGGCTATTAATTAATCACCATCACCTTTAGGGTAAAGAATATCTGAGAGATTTGGCGGCCAATACTGATTTACCTTACTATTTTGAAGTTTTGACGCTTAACGTTGGTGTTTGGTGTCAATGTTCAACTAAACGTTAATATAAAGGCCTCGAGACAAACCCGTTCACTCCAAAGATCTCATCAGTAATTCTCCTTACTGTTTGCTGTAAAATTCTTAGGATGTTAGTATGGAGAAATTGGTATTGGGTCAACTGATAATCCACTGATTCATATTTTCCTTTATTCTCATCCGTTGTTATTGATATCGTAAGGAGAAAATGTGTCGCGGTCACTCATGGGAGTTGAAGAGTTAAATGTTTGGGCTCAACTTCATAAGCAGCGAATAGGACATGTTTATCATCATGTGGTACAAAGACTTTATTCAATTCAAACAGTTTAATTTCGCTAAAATGCAATATTGATGATAGCGGTTTAAACATCTACATCTCGATTTTATCATTTAAGAATAACATTTGTTATAAACTTTGAGTTTGCTTAATAAGTATTCAATGCGGGAAACTTATTTCACTTGGTCCATTTTACATCCCAGCTCGCGGGCCTGTAAGCAGATGTCTCTCCGGTACTGCCGCTCACGTTGTGCCTAAAGATTTAATAAACGTGATTTTAAAATTTAGTATCAAGTTAAGTCGAAAAAACAAGCATAAAAACAAGACCGTTAAACCCTGACAGATAGTTGGAGTCAAATGAATCAAAAGTACCTTGACTTGCACCTCCAATTCAAGTATTGAATAACTTAACTGACATCAACAAGGCAAACCGAACAGACAAATTAAAAAACCTGCACTAACCTCCTCTAAGCGTCTACGAATGTTCGTCTTCAACATTTTTAAATTTTCAGCCCCTCCTTCCGGGTCTGTCCCTTAAAGAGTTTAAAACGGCTTTCAGTAAGAAAAATTCAGTTAGATTAGTAAGTGGATTAAAAAGGGAAAGATATTTGCACTTAGTCATGTATTTCTGTTACCTCGCAGTCTCCACTCTTCTTACAATCTTTAATATATATAGAGCCCTCGACCAACGATGAAGAAAGGAAAAGTGAAAAAATACAAAGCGCTGTGGTTTTCATCTTGCTTACACGAGCTTCAGTGCGCGAAAAAATAGTGGTATATATATATAAATAGAATAAATGTTTGAAGAGAAAATTTGCCCTGAGCGGGATGAAATTTTGCCCTGAGCGGGATGAAATTTTCTTTTCAAACATTTATTCTATTTAAGTATGATTATTTGGGGTGTACAGGGTCAGGGTTTCCCTTGTATACAAAATATATATATATATATATATATATATGCAGTAAACAACTAAAGATGTGTACAGCTGTAGTGAAACGCTTTTTCAGCTCAGCTCGGAGAAAACTAATTACTTCCTCAGTCATCATGCATCATAACAACGCATCAGTCAAAATGTACCACGATTTTTTGATAACGCGATTTAAATCAAATTGTTTAGTATGCCTTATTGCAGGACGCCAGTTAACTTATCCAAAAATGTGCAGAGTATTTTCTTCGCTGCTTAAACTGAGTAGACCTAAGTAAGCATTTTTTAAAGGCAAAAATGAGAAAATAAACAAAGACCAACCAGGAATTCGCATCGAACGAGTGAGGTCTCTAAGCAGCCGTTTAGGTCCGCCTGAGCTGTCCGGCTGGATCACGATAATTTCTTGTTTACCTGTATTTTATTGTGAAACTTGAAGTGTATATAAATGCGTTTCAGAGGCGGCGGTGCGTTTTGAGACATGGAGGGAGGAGGGGAAAGTGGGGGAGGCTTACCTTGCCCCCACCCATACGCATACTCCTCAAATTTTCCAAATTAACTTTGCATTGTTCGCTGGAACAGGCAAACCTCTTTGTCATCTTAATAGCTTCCGTAATCAAGTTTTGTCTTACTTTTATTTTTTCCGGCACAGTCTAAAATCTTCCAGCTTCGCATTCAAGTGGGCCCCCAAAACAAAAATTAAATCCTATACTAGACACGCTGTGTAGTTTAATGGAGAATTGCTGCGGTTGACAGGCATTTTGAACACAGGCCTGAGCTGTTCAAAAAAAGTTCTCACTGAATATCCTTTTATTAATCAGGATGCTGATGAAATGATTTGTGAAAAGATCACAAGATCAACTATTCTACCAATTTTTTCAGCAAAAATATTTATTTTGTTAAGCACGATGCTGATGAAATGATTTGTGAAAAGATCACAAAATCAAATATTCTCCCAATTTTTTCAGCAAAAATATTTGTTTTGTTGAGCACGGTGCTAATGAAATGATTTGTGAAAAGATCACAAGATCAAATATTCTGACAATTTTAAGCTGCGCCAGCAAATTTTTTCGGTATCAAAACGTAGGGGGCTGTATCCCCCAGATTTTTGTTTATGGGGGACTTGGACCCCCCCCCCCGCCTCCTGCTCCGCCGCCAATGTCGTTTATACTAACAGCATCGCTAACGAAATTTTATAAATAAAAATGAAAACGTATAAACTTAACTGCCCTTCTCGTAGGATTTTGTCGCTTTCCCAAAAACAACACCGTGAAGGGTTTTTAGCTCCTGGCTTGTACACTTCCGTACATTGCAAATTATCATAGGCTGTCGTCAAAGAACATTGTTGCTGACTTGATATGAGCCTAAGAAAAGATTTTTCGTCTCTTTCTCTTTCGATCAAAATTAATTTCATGAGAGGGTTACGGAACAGTTTTGAGTTTGTTTAGCCACTTCTTGTTACGGAATCGGTCGGAATCAGCAGGAATGCTGTAGGATGCCTCCTTCGAAATACAGCTGTCGAGCTTTTTTTATTTCGCTTTATTTTCTGGGTTAAAGCTCCTTTTGTTGAAGAAACGTCTTAAAGAATTAAATCTTGATCAAACTTAAAAGAGATGTCTTAGAAAAAAATACCACCGATGTTTTAAAAGCCAAGTGCGAAAGCGAACCATGAAGTTTAAGACCTACTATTAATTAAAAGTTTACGAACAGAACTCTTCCCGGTCAACTTTGAGGAAGTTAATCAATTTCTAAGTCATCAGTGAAACTTTCTCCCCTCACCAATATGTCCATACAAGCGCTCAAAAGTTATTAATAATGTGGCTGTCTTATAAAAGAAATTTGCATTTTACAGATCATTAGTATGTATTTATTTGCACTCATCAAGAAGGTAACTTGTATTAAAACAACAACAACATCTGTTCTATCATTTTTTCTTTGTTTGCTTCGAACTTTCTTTTTACTTTCTTCTTCCGGTTCTTTTTCCGGTTTGAAAGCCTCGAGAGGTATTTTCGCATGACAAATGATCAGCATTATGTGTGATATTTTTCTTTTATCATTTTATTCTCATTATTCTCTGTTACACGACATACATAACTTGTGTGAAGTTCGCATTAGCATCTTTTCATGAAGTTGATTCTTTATCTCTCCTGTTTGCAATTAAACTGAGCTTCTTCCAAATTGACAGTTCGTATTCACAAAAAGCTTATCTATAGAAATGACACATGGCGGCAGTGGTCAGCTTTGCAAAGAGTTCCAGTTTATTCCAAAAGAGCAAAACGGAGTGGTGACTTCCTATAAGACAACCGGAGAACACCTTTACAATCCGATGTTAAGTCAAAGCTTAACCAGTGTAATATTTGCGCAAAGTTGACCGTCTTTCAGCGCCTTTGGGAACAAATCGGAGAGTTCAGATGGCTTTAGCATCGACGTCAAGTATGTGTTCAAACTTTGGTCCTCCAAGAGTTCTCTCATACTTCACAGAGTCCTTTCAGTCTTCCTTACAAGTTTAACCATTCCTGGAAACTCTTTGGTCTGTTTGGCCATCATAAAGGATCCTTTCAGAAAGTTGAAAACACCATTTAACTATTTCCTGATGAGTCTGGCGGTGACAGATCTGGTTGAGGGAACGATTATGGATCCCGTTTCAGTTGCTTTTCACACCAGCGAAGCGCTTGGCTTCAACTTGACTACTTAAATAGCAAAATCCCACACATTCTATACTTCATCTTATGCACGCCGTCTATTTTAACACTCGCGGCACTTACTGTGGATAGATATGTGGCCGTATCGACGCCAGTGAAGTACAAAACAATGGTTACCTCCAAGCGTGCTATTGTAACATCCATATCAATTTGGGTGGCAGCGCTGGGGTTTTCCTTTTGTATACTTTGAACTGGGTTTCATATTCTACTCCTTTATTTTTGCAAACACTGCTGTTCTCAACACGTTTGGGGTTCTAATCTTTGTTCATGTAGGAATACTTAAAAGACTGGGACAGAGATCGAGATATTGGCGAAAAAGGAGAGCAGAGGAGGGGACGGCATCTGATGAACAGGAGAACCAGAAAAATCTTGTCAATACAAAGGGGGACAGCAAGGCAACTAAAGCATTAATGATTGCGCTTCTTGCATTTTTTCCTTCGTTTACGCCAGTCTGTGTTCTGATTTATGTGTTAAATTTTTGCTCTGGTTGTGTGTGTTTATCTACTGGTTGCGGGATTTGCAATTCTAAATCGTCTCGTGTAATTCTGGTATTAACCCTTATCTATACGCATGGAGGCTTCCTCAGTTGAAAAGAGCATTTTAGAAATTTCTTTGTCTCAGGACACGCGCTAAGATAAGTGAAGTTACTAAAACACCAGTTCACGCCACTGGCAATTTAGAAACCAGCCAAATACCTAAAACTGTTAGCGGAGAAGACGTAAATATTTCACCCGTTTAAAAAAACTTAACAATCATAACACGCTCTCAAAGAATGAGTGTCGTTTCGTACTCGTATCCCACGTATATTTTTGGCAATTTCTAAATTGATAATTTTATGAGTAAGAAGTTTTAATAAGTCCAAAAGAGATAAATTTATGAACTTCCAATGTTTTTTTTTTTTTTCCTTTTGTTTTTTTTTTTTTTGTTTTTTTTTAACGTTGTGAAAATAAGATGTTTGAGGGGATTGCATAAACTCTTCGTATTATTGCAAATGTTCAGTCACGCTTAGTCGCGCGAATAAAATTAATCTGCAAGGGAAATAACGGTTGCCGCGGAAAAGGCTCATTCTTGTTCGTCTTTCGATTTTAGTGCTTCCGCCAGCACTTAATTTTCAATTTTTTTCTTTCCTTTTTTGCCGATGTCTTTTCACTCGTTCAACACGATACTAAAGAAAACCATCATGAAAGTTAACGTGTGTAAAGCTGGACGCCGGTTGACGTGAGCCAGTCTGGAAAAGCCGCTCAGTCCTGCACTCGCACACTTTTTCGACGTTTTTTCCAAATTCTAACGGCGGGCCTTTCGACCTCATTCCCAGGGCGCTTTTCCACCCGTCCTCTCAACGAGAGGAGGTTGCGGGGCTTTAGCAGACTAGTGTATGTTTTTCATTTTTATACCACTAGCTGAGAGGTTATGAAGCATTGAAAGATAGGATAAAAACTTTAGGAGGAGGTATTTATCTAAGCAGGCCTATATTCTGTTGAAATAATAAAAAAAAAGAACCAAACGCACAAATTACAAGGCACCCGCAAGCGGGCACAGGTTAATATACACCAAAAGCGGCTAATTGCCGGGACGCGTTGCCATTTGGAACGAGACTCGTGCGATATCGTTCGTCCGATGGTATCGATTCGTGTGAAAATCGTGTAAAATTCCCCGCGGCAAGTGATGATTTCTCCTTTATGCATGGTTAGATGTTGACAATTCGTAGACATAATTTGAATATATCAACAAAGTTGAAATGGTAAATTGGCCACCGTTACGATTATAAAAGCTGACGTTTCGAGCGTTAGCCCTTCGTCGGAGCGTTAGCTCTTTCGTAAACATGCCAGCCATCGGTCATCGTGAGTTTTGACATTTAAAGATGGCCGACAGCTCTCGAAACTGTCACATTTGAGCGTGCAAAAAACTACCGGCTGCTGGGAAAGAAATTATATAAAAAAGTTTGCAGTAAGCTAATCCCAGCCCAATAACATACTGCAAAATTCTAGCTATATAGCTCAAACTGATAAGGATGTGTTGCTCTTCTAGGATTCTTAAAAATAAGGACCAATTGTAAATTGTAAACAAAAATTTACTGCGCATTACATGGGAAATAACTCAATTTTTAACTAAACATTAGACTAAAGGCCACGAGACAAACCCGTTCACTCTGAAGATCTCATTAGTGATTCTCCTTACTGTCTGCTGTACAATTCTTAGGATGTTAGTTTGGAGAAATTGGTATTGGGTCAACTGATAATCCACTGATTGATATCTTCCTATATTCTCATCCGTTGTTCGCTTGATATTGTATTGATGTCGAAGTCTTCGACCGGTTCCATATTATTTTGACAATCTTGAGAGGCTTGCATGGGACCTTTTTCGTACTGATTCTCTACCCTGTCTCTCACTTCAGTTTGTGCTTCATCTATAACGTGTTTCTTTTCCTTTGAGGCACTTTCAACGCTCAAGGCACCTAGAGAAACTGAAGTCGAAACCGCTTTGGGGATACCTTTGGTGTTTAGATCCTCATCACTTCCTTCTTCGTTCTTTAATAACAAAGCCCTGGACCCATCTTTGCCGCTAATTTGCACCACATTTATATCAAGTTGCAAAGGCTTGTTGAATTTATCATAATGCTTTTGATAGCTTTTCTGTGTTATAAGTGACAGGAAAAGAAAAGAACACTGTTTTAACACTGGTGCTCCTTGTCCCAAAGCAGGTAGGGGTTACAAATACTATATTTTTACTACATTTAAAATCAAAGCTCTACTGC